AGAGGGGGTGGGGGGGAGAGAGACAGAGAGAGAGACAGAGAGAGAGAGAGAGAGAGAGAGAGAGAGAGAGAGAGAGAAGAGAGAGAGAGAGAGGGGGAAGATCTGGAAGAAATTGGCTCTCATGGTTCGCAATTCGTTTCTATGAACCATCAAAAACACTTATGCACATTTGTTGAGACATGTACACCCATTTGCTGCTACGGTACGTAGCAGAGATTGGAAAGACGAACCTGACAGCAGACAGCCTATTCTCCTCTCTGCCATAAGACGCTTGTCCACTGCAGCCTCGAGCAAAGTTGCAACGTTTTTTTTTATGTCAGCCGCTGGAATGAAGACAGCAATACGGAAATATTAGGTTGAGAGAACATGACAGAAAAACTGATAATCCCTCAATGTAAATGTTTTTCTTGATGTCAGCCGCTGGAATGAAGACAGCAATACGGAAATATTAGGTTGAGAGAACATGACAGAAAAACTGATAATCCCTCAATGTAAATGTTTTGCGCCTCCATCGACACAATCAGTTGTGCGGCGGCCGACACCAACGCTGCCTGTAAGGACTAACCCGGGTTGAGAGAGATACAACATTTCGTAGACAGTGACACTCGATATGAAAATTCTCCACACAGAAATTGAGCCCATTCTTCTGCGTTGGAGGGCAATGAGTCTAATTGTAACATACATGTCAATGTATAGAATCTACAGACGCTGGTGAAGAAACTTTGGTAAAAGGGCATTGACAAGATATTCCTTTAATGTGTGTCTTGCTCACCACAACAGTCAAATGTGGTTATAGAACTGTGTACATGGGGTACCCCAGAAATACTACAAAAAGGTTCGGGGAAGAAAATAAAGGAAAATCGATCTACATGACATTCTGCAACAAACTGACAGAATACCTGCCGTTGACGAATTGTATTCATAACATTAGATTTATAATGATAATAGATCAATTCAAACGCATTATGCTATGCAATGTCCAAACATAACCACGTAGACGGACAGACAGACAGACAGACAGAGAGACAGACAGACAGACAGACAGACAGACAGACAGACAGACATACAGACAGACAGAAAGGAATAAAGAAAGAAAAAGAAAGAAAGAAAAAGAAAGAGAGAGAGAGAGAGAGAGAGAGAGAAATAGAAAAAAGGGGATGCAGATGTACGTATGTACGTAGGTACGTATGTACGTAGGTACGTAGGTACGTAGGTACGTAGGTACGTACGTACGTACGTACGTACGTATGTATGTATGTATGTATGTATGTATGTATGTATGTATGTATGTATGTATGTATAGCGACACAACAGAGCAGGCTGAAGATATACATGCCAGCATCTTTGCAATTTATGTTCAATGCATTCAGTTCAGATAACCTTGAGAAACAATGAGGTGGACGCCATAATATAGATGAATGTTGTCCTCTTCTTCTTCTTCTTCTTCTTCTTCTTCTTCTTCTTCTTCTTCTTCTTCTTCTTCTTCTTCTTCTTCTTCTTCTTCTTCTTCTTCTTCTTCTTCATCATCATCATAAACAACATCATCATCATCATCATCATTATTATTTTCATAATCATTATTATTACTAGCAATATTATTATTATTACTCACAATAGGAAGAGACCAACGTCTTGTACATAGGGAACTGGCCTGGCTTGTTGAAGCAGACTCTCTCCTTCAGGAACGCCCGCCCTTGGGAGTCCAGATCATATATCTCAACATGGCCCGGGGGAAACGGCTCCATTTTGACCTCATCGTCTGACATGCTATGGGAGAGGCCGAACAACCCTGCGGATATACGAGGGTGGGTCAGAAAGTGATGGAACTTGCCATTAAGTGGGTAAGATATTGACTGTGATTATAAAGCAATACACATAATCAATCTATAACAGGTCTACGCTCGAACCAACTATTGGAGTAGCTTGTGGCGTCACTCTTGACTATTGCATGAAGTCACAAGCAAAGAATGGTTTGCTGTACTTTGAAGGAAACAAGATGAAGATCACAAAAGAAAACATCAATTCCACATCTTTATGCACTGTAGACTTTGCAAATCGCAAAAACTAATTCATGAAAAAGTTCAGTTTTGTGAAGAACACATTTTCTTATTTAGTAAGATATATATATATAGAGATAGATAGAGAGAGAGAGAGAGAGAGAGAGAGAGAGAGAGAGAGAGAGAGAGAGAGAGAGAGAGAGAGAGTTTTTGGTGACAAATGTTCTAGCCACCCAAATTCCTCTGAGAAAGAGCAAACTGTTGATGTTGTCTGGAAATATATTGGCAATGTCCACATACCGCATAACAAAGAAGGTAGTGACATATCAGGGGTTTTGTTTGGGTTGGTGCAAAATATTTGACGTGACGAACTCAGTTTGAACAAAAGTGTGTGCTTATGAGATACCCATTTACTAACTAGGAACAAAAAGGAGGGAGCGAGATGTGCCCAACAATTGCTCAACATGTTTCAGGTATGCTAGAAGCTGAATACCGCTATGCTTTTCGGAAATATCCTATGGAAGCATACACATTCGAAGAGAAATTCAAAATAAAAATTGAAAATGCCATGTCCATAGCGTTAAAAGTTTTTGAGATACTTAACTTCCATCACTTTTTTTATCCACCCTTGTAAGAACAACTCACACAGTCCCATTAGAAAGGTCATAATAGTGGTGATGATGATGATGATGATGATGATGATGATGATGATGATGATGATAATGGGATGGATGGGAGGAGGGGCAGGAGGACAGGGAGTAGAATGGGGAAATAGAGGAGGAGGAGGAAATGAGAACAACATTTTTACCTTTAGCTTCAGAGCAGACCGCCAGAAAGCCTTGCTCAGTCTGAAAACGGAAGAGCGGCCGTACCCCATAGGTGTCACGACCTAAGATGACCTTTCTGTTCACCACGTCCAGAATGCAGAAAGCAAACACGCCGTCCAGGTGTTTAGCCATGAACTCGGCGCCATGTGAGTGGTAGAGGTGGATCATGGGCTCACCATCGACGTCTGTACTGAGGGACAGGTCGAATTCCTTGTCCAACTAAAGTCACAATGAAGAGATTGCGTTGGTGGTTAGTTATTTGGTTGGTTTTTAGAGGGAGTGGGTCGTTATGTAGACAGGTTGAGGAGTGGAGTCAATGACTTCCCCTTAATTTTCTATCTTTAAAAAAAGCTACCAATTCTGTCTTTCTCTTTCTTTTTGTTTTTGTCGGGTTTGTTTGTTTTTTTTAGGGTGGTTGTTTGTTTTTGTTGGGGGTGAGAGGGCTGTGGGGGAAGACCAAAGGCGTGAATGATAAAGAATGAGCAGAGGAGTTGAACGAGCGAGTGAGTGAGTAAGAGAGTGAGCGAGTGAATGAGTGAGCAAGCAAGCAGGCTGTGCTGCACATCATGCCAACCGTTAGCAAAAGTTATTCCCGCATCCGATCCGGACATAGGGGGATTACCTTGTTGGTGAGACAACTTCTTGGGCCTTCGGCATATTGTGATAGGGTAGCCAGTTCCTTTCCACGCCGCCTTTACCCCCTTAACTCGAAGTCAGGTACCTATTACTGCTGGGTGGGCAGGAGGGGGCGAAAAAAATCCGTGACCGAAACGAGGCTCGAACCCGGACTTTCCGCTTCGGAGACGAGAGCACTAACTGCTCCGCCACCGCAGCCTCCAACCGTTAGTAGGTGACTCAAAAAGTGATTTATTTTGTTGTCTTTGGAGGGGATTAAGGAGAATACCGCAGATTTCTAAAACGAAGAGATCCTCGAAGATTTCTATGGTCTCAAGCAACATGAAATATACTGACGATAAAAAAAAAGGTAAAAACGTCTTGCCTTTTTAGACGTTGAATGTCTTGACAACAGCAGAAACACGCGGAGCACGCTGATAGTTCTATTTCTATGATGTTAAGGTTAAACCTATTATTTTTCTTGGATGAAAAGGATCATATTTTATAGCGGGTTTTTTAAAATAATAAATAAAGACCTAAACTTGGTTTTTTTAAAACAGACAAGAAAAAAAATCTATCGCATGGTAGGGGAGATATACCAATTTTCTGGCATTGGTGCTGTGAATATTAATTCAAGCACCAAAATGGTAATTGTTGTAACGTGACCTCTTTTAGACTACTTCGTACAGACTCAAAAGACTAAATCATTTTTTATTACGCAATCAAAAAGTGGTATCTTTCTTTTGAATGCCAGGATAGTTCAATGATAAATGGGTTTTTTCTAAATATTGCGTTTATGTTTTGGAAGCGCTGAAAACATGGAAAACAATTCACGGGAGATCACAACAATTAAAATGACAACCAGGGCAGAAACCTCAGGTAAAAAAAGTAAGTAGGTCGAAGACTTCTCATGTCAAATATACCGTATACAACAACACAGTCAAAGAATGCTTCGGTTCAGTTATCACAACCCGACAAAGCCACCACGTCCCGTACGAACCACATTCGTGTATTATTACAATAAGCAAAAAAGAAATCCGAGAGCTTGGGGCTACAATAAATCTGTTGACGTACAGCTCATAGAACATAATATCAAATTTCCCTTTTCTCTGTGGACGAAGCACGGCAACTTAGAGTAGGTTAAGTTACACAATATAATTCATCATTCGTCTTCAGCATAAGGTGGGTTTCATTTTGGGAAGGTTATCCTAGCAAAAAAAATTGTTTTCGCTTTATTGAGCAATGGAAATGGAAAAGATTTACAGAGTTCAAAATCAAGCAGGTAATCTAGACACAGAAGTGTATTACGCGGGACACTTTCACAACGCCTTAACCATTCCAGTTGCAGTTCAGAGACTAAAGCAAAGAGAGGAATGTTGATAATAATCAGTAATTTTGTAATAACACATATGTGAAGATTTGGGGGTGTTCGGCGTGCATTGTCTACTTTTAAACTTCCGGGGCTAGTTAAAGTACAATGATACTAAACAAATTCTGAAGTTCAAATCAACACCGGAACAAATATTGTTGTAATCTATTGACAAAATCAGAAAGCTCCAATTTCTAGTCAAAATGTATTCACAGCATTCCAAGGCGAGGAATGAAATAAGAGGAGAACAACACAGAGTTACATATTATATGAAGTGTGTGTATTTGTGTGTGTGTGTGTGTGTGTGTGTGTGTGTGTGTGTGTGTGTGTGTGTGTGTGTGTGTGTGTGTGTGTGGTGGCTTGGGGAGTGTGTGTGTGTGTGTGTGCGTGTGGGTAAGAGGGTAAAAGTAAACTTGAGCCCTCCATTCTTACTTGACCTGTTACGCACTTCCAGGGTCTTCACTCTCCTTGTGATGTTCTCATACAGACTCTAAAAACTATAGAGATTGCCATGCAAGATACCGTTTTAACTTATTGGTTAAAATCTATTTTTATCTACGTGGTCAGGCATGTGGATACAGACAATGCAGTGAGAGGATCGATGCAGGAAGTACTCACCAGTTTGTGGTTGTAAATCTCCCCGTTATAAACGAGCCAGATGTACGGATGTGTGTACAAGCGCATGGGTTGCATACCTCTCACATCGTCCACGATTGCAAGGCGGTGAAAACCGAGGCAAGCGTTCTGAAAAAAACAATGGGGGGGGGGGGGGGGGGTCAAAAAGATGTCTTTGATAATTACTGGAAAGAAAACACACTAACAGACAAGGTGAGTTTGAAGAAGACGACAAAACAAAAGTAAGGTGACTAAGTATATCAGTAAAAAGTTAAAATGTAACATGCAATATCTATATCTTTGTGATGTTATTTGACGTTGCATTGAAAATGATCAGTAGATGGTGAGCACCGAAATATTACTCTGTTTAAGCCAAAGCATCAAATTCAGTACCAATTCTTCTTCACGGTGTGCGCACGCGTGTTCGTTTGTCCGTAAACATGCATACATTTGCGCTTACTTACATTATGTTGTATGCTTCATAATGTACATAATGCACTATGAATGTGTTTTAAAAAACGAAGGGGGGAATTTTGAGAGAGGAGAAGAGAGAGACACCGAGAGGGAGCAAAAAGACTGAGAGAAATATAATCTATGTGTGTATGTGTATGTAAGTGTGTGTTTGTATATGGATGTGTTTGTGTGCGTGTGTGCGTGTGTGCGTGTGCGCTTTGGCCCGTTTGGAAATGTTTGCAGTTGTCTTCAGAGCGACGTTCTGGAGAATTTATGAGTGCATGAGTGTAATGGTGAGTATGAGCATTTCGTTACCTCAGATTTACAAAGTTCTATCCCTTCAGTACCTAGTTTTAAGAAGAGTTTCACAACACGTCAAGCTTTTTCGAATGCAATTCTTTAAATATCGTGATAACGACTCTGAATAATCTTACGATTTTGACAGAGCAGCTAGAACATTCATTGGTTTCTGACCGTTTGGTCTTAGTGACTCAAACGGGCCAAAAATGTGAGACAGAACGTTTTAATTTTTAGGTAGCGATTTGCTGACGTCTGTATTTCTAACATAGAATCATGCGCTGCGTATTAAGGTCAGATCCTCAATCAGAGAGGAATGTTTTACCTAATCGATCTCATAATAACACGGACGAAACACTTTACTGTTCACGCTACATAAACAACAGCCGGCCTCATCTAGGCTCACTGCCACAGTGTCGCTCAACACAGAAAAGTGGAGAGTAAGCACAAATCCTCTAACAATATTCCTGACCTGGCACATTATGCAATTAAGTCAAAATAAATGTGGGAATATGTCTATTTAAATCACATCTTTCAATCGCATGGTGTCTACAACAGCTTGCAGATAAATTTTTGAAAACGTTGATCACCGTCTGTAATGTAAAATAATATCTACGATAGGCACTAAAAATTAGATCTATACGGTTTATTTAAAAGGCAACATAGACATTTTATTTAATTTTAATAACTGAATTATATTTATCGTAATATTTTGCATAGTTGCACTAATCGAGGATAAGGAATGGTTCGATTTGTTTTCATTTTGTTTAGATAGATTGACTACTACTTGCTTTTCAAAATCTTAATTTTCCCCAACCAAATACTGCTTAACATTTTGTAAACTATTTAATTTGACCAAACACGACATGGAGCCCCAGTCTTCGGTAAGCCCATCCTTCACTCAATAACAGTGAGTCATCGTTAAACTCTGGAGAAGAAAAAAACCCACCCCCCAAAAAACGTATGTTGAAAGAGACCTCTCGACAAGGCCATGATAGACAAATGAACTGGCACTGACAGGTAATCCACAGCCTGGTAGCGAAGCCAAAGAGAACCCAACTTTAATTATTGTGAATGTTCTGTAATGGGTGGTTGGTGGGGCACTCTTTTATGATTTGCTCCTTCTTTCCTATCAAACATCTGTCGTCTTTATCTCTTCTCCTTCTTCCTTTTGTATGCTACTGTCTGGTAAAACCTCTTATCTTCAGCACTTATATGACGTATTTGTAAAACTCTCACTAATAATGAGCTTTGTTATGCGTTACCTGTAAATGGTTGATGTTCTCAATTCTGAAGGCGTCAGGGCCCCTATGGGTGATTCGGTGTACTGCATTACACTGCACGGAGACGTTCTCATCAGAACCGAAGACAGCCCAAATGCCACACATTCTGACAGGTCGGCTTCACGAGAACTGCAATAAAAATAAAGCCAAAACAGATGCAAGGCATACAAAAGAAAATTGAATTAGGATGGTGCTTTCTTTTTGTCATGCCATGACAGGAAATAGGATGGTCTTATAGTGGGTGGGCCAAAGTTGTTGAGGCTTTTTTTTTGCCGAGAAGGAAAAAGAACTACTCATAGAACATGAAAGAAATGAAGGACAAGTAGGATGTTTCATTATGTAGATAAAAGACTAAAGAGAACCAATGCAGAGGAAGTGCAATCTTCTCGAAGGCATTTCTCCGGGTTAACTGTCATTCAAGTTATATTATCGTGGCGGCAGATGCTTCACTCAATCTGACACCTGAGGCACAATGCAGTTATAAATTATCTCATAAGTATTATGTATGACGTTCACCACCAATCCCCCCCCCTCCCCCCAAAAAAGCCTTCAAAATAATCTATGTGTTTTCAGTTTGGGGGGGGGGTCAAAGATGATAGGGGAAAAATAGTTTCTTTTTGCTTTTGTCCTTGTCCCTACGTCAGTGAACACACGAACAATTAATCTTGCCTCTCCTGAAAACATCGTGACGTCACAGTTCTCAGAGGGCATTATTTGCCCACTACTGGCCCCACAATAATAACACCATCTGGTGCTCCATAATATCTAGCAAATGTGGAGGTGCTCGGGGACGTTCAAATAAAAATAGCCACTTCATTTTCTTGTGTCTCTCTTTTTGGTCGCTCTGTGAATATCTAAATGACAATTTAAAAAGACTTAACCTAGAATGACTCCATGGTCATTCTTTGAGTAATCTATCGATAAAGGGACAAAAAGGCGTTAAAACTATTTTCAGGTCAAACTTTATTCGGGCAAATGCTTTCTTGTCCAGCAAACGTGCTCTCCTCACAGTGGCAGATAAGGAGAATCCTATAACATGTTCCTTATTTCTGGAGAGTAAAGTACAAGCTAGTTGGTGTAACGCCATCCCATTTCCCCACCTTGAAAATATAGGTCTTCACACCAGGAAAAAGAAGCCACAGAAAACCAGACCAAGTGCGTAAGTGCATTGTAGGTTCAGGTTCTGGCTGTGGACGTTCGTTTCAAACTGAGGTCACCTTCAGAGATTTTCGAGAAAACATCACAAAAAGTGGATAAAGGTATCGAGTATTGGCCCCTAAAAACACTACACAAGACAAAAAGGCCTTAAAGAGAAAGCAAAATCTGTTACGAAAAGGAATGTGAGAGACTGGAAACTGAGATGCGGGGGGGGGGGGGGAAGGGGGGATTTAATCTACTTCTTCCATATCATGTTGCACTAACAGGAAAGAAGCAATATCGAATACGATGCACCGTCTAATTTCTGTGTGGGGCACAATAACTATTTTTCACCGGCTGCAAATAAAACCTAACTCTAAAACTTCAAGTAGAAAAAATGTCTGCCTCCATAAGGAATTGCAAATGGAATTCCTTTTACTTTTTTTTTCTTTGTTTTAGCCGGGGATTTGGGGGGGGGGGTGCTCCAGGGCAGTGAGTTTAGAAAAGGTCTTAGTAGTTGTAAAGCGCATAGAGCATGCTGTAGAGTGTGGATATAATCTATGTGTTACACAAAAATGCAGATACTCTTCTTTTTAATATTACTGCCGCATACTTAGTAATAGACGCAATAAAGTAAACTTAGTTTTTAGCATGACAGACTCAAAGAACCCGTGTAATGCATTAGACATGAAAACACAATCCTAAAGACAAGTTGTTAAGAAATCAGCAGGGGTGGCTTGACCGATATGTGTGAACAAAATAAAAAGAGCTGTTGTAATAGGACAGACAGGTTCAGCTGTCTCGGCACATGTTATTCAACCGTGTATTTGTGAAAGGCGGAACTTAAAAGCAATCCAGGTCTCAGTTTACGGTTTATCCTGCCCAACCTTAAAATCGTTGAAAGGACTGCGAGCACACAGTGTGCAGTATACCGGAGTTGGGTTTAGTGACAGTACAGTTGAGAAGACAGTTTGAGCTTGCTTGACCTTTCCCAGTGCAATGAAGATAGACCTACCGCATTGATGAACGCGAAAAGCAGCGACTGATCTATTGCATGTAATGTGTGACGCTCCGATAAACGCAATTCAGATCACCCATGTCGTAAGGGGCAGGCTATATCAAACCTGTCTGCTAGGTCAACCCGGGCTGAGTAAATCTAGCATCCGAGCAGGAAGACAGAGACAACAGAAAAAAACAAACATGCGTTCAACATTAAGGAAAGAATGCAAAGTTATTCAAGCAATAAAGACCCGCTTTTAGCCTAGACAGATGCTCAAAACTGAAGACTATTTATAACCGAATAGATGGAAAACTGTGGTATTGGTCTGAGTGTATTGGAAAACAAGCACTTCTACATGTTGTTTAAAAAGTTTCCCAAGGCTAAAAACTAATTTAGAAGAAAGTAGTATAGTTTGATTAGAGTGACTGTAGACTATTTACGCCCCGATTGACACTATTTAGAACTGCGTGCCACGGCAAAGCGAAAAAAAAAATCTACAGCACCGCAGAGGCCAGTAGTTCATGTACACAATAATGTAGAATGGAAAAACGTATAATTTTACGGTGAACAAGACAAGGCATGTCATTCATGCAGGTACTGGTGCTCGTGTTGAACCGATGGAACACCAAGCCTTATAAATTGAAATAGATCTGGTTTTACACAAACTTCGCACTATGGATACTTTTACCTCACTCTGCTTTTGCCGATTCATAAAAGCACAAACAGCTGATATTCAGTATTATTCATTGAACGTTTGGTACCGTAATCGTTGTAAGAAACATGAATCTTCGTCGCACAAAATTTTCAACTATACTTCAACGAAAGAGTCTAAGGCCATTAGCTTGGATCAGGATATCTTGTGTAGATATGCATTAATGTGCAGTGGGGTTACAAATAAATCAACGGGCAGCTGTTCATACTAACCTAGTTGAATAAACTTATTATTCGAAACTTCGAATTCTAGTTAACATCGTGCGATTACAGCTTTAAAAAAGGGTTACTCGACTTAAAGTTATAAAGAATATCGCAGAAGATTGGATTTATCGTCATAATGTTAGGCTACTGAAATGCCTTACCTTTTCACTGGCGGAAAGAAAACAAGAACGGGGGTTCAGAAAACACAGTGCGGTCGCTGACTAGCGGATACCACCGGTGGAGATCTGACAGTTGTTAGCACACACTGAGCAGGGAAGCCGGGTTTTATAAAGCCCGCCGGTCTGTGCTCCTCCTAGGTTGCTGATGCAACGGTTTGGCCTTGTTCTTGTTTCGCAGCTGAGCGCTGGAGCGGGCTGTGAACTGACCCGCTGTGACCCACAGAGGTGCCTCATAATAGTGCAGTGCGAAGGGGTAACTCGTGAAACGTAACGAAGCGAAATAAATACTGTTCATGTGAGAGAGCCGTGGTCTCTGCCTACTTCTATGGCATTGATGGAGAGAGAGAGAGAGAGAGAGAGAGAGAGAGAGAGAGAGAGAGAGAGAGAGAGAGAGAGACAAATGAGTTACGCAAGACGAGGAGGAGGAGGAGGAAGGTTAGGAGTGGGAGGAGGAGGAGAATGTGAACAGACGGACATACCACATGGGCAGTGATGCGTTCTTTCCTCGGCTTCACTCAGAAAGCCTTGGTTCTTTTACAACACCGTCAGTGTAGACAGGTCATGGAGTGAGTGTACTTCATTATATGGGACACTATGGGGGTCGGTGGGAGGGG